CGCGGGCAGAGCCCATCCTAGGCTGGCTCCCACGGCCTGGACACCGAGTGGCTCCCTGTCCCCCACAGGGACCCCAAAGACGCCACATTCTGCTTAAACCCACGGGAACGACTTCCTTCCACCTCCGTCCCCGCTGCCACCAGGAATTGGAGGACAGAGACTGTCTTCATTCCCGAGAACCTCATGTCCCCTCTGCTCTTGATCAGGAGACCGTAGCTGTGCACGGGAGCAGCTTCCTGTCAAATACTCCCGGGAAGGGACGCAGGGAACAGCCAGGTCGTTCTCAGAGCCCGAATGGGATTGAGAAGAAACATTCTCTGTTTGCCTGCAGTGCGCACAGAGAGAAGCTGGCAGTTCAAACGCACTTGGAAACTGGCAGGACCGTCTTCCTCCCCGGAGGGTGTGAGTGAAGGCAGGAGCAATGCCAGGGGCCCGTGCACCTGGGAGGGAAGCGGGAGACCCTGTGTGTTTTCCAGCTGTGTGGGAGTTTTGCGGGCAGTGTCCTCAGCCACACTCTGAGGTCTCCATTCCCGGAACCTGAGACCCTCCTCCCTCTCCCTGCTTGCTTCCTCTGCAGCTGTGGCCCGCCCGGCCCTGCCCTCTCTCCCCTACAGGAAGGGAGCAGGCACTGGGCTCAGGAGCCGCTGCAGGGAGGTCTGAGCTCCGGCTGAGGCTGGAGGAGGGAAGGCGCAGGGGCCAGGCGGGGTGAGGGAGAGCAGACCCGGCCCAGCCAGGTGGAAGGGCTGGGAGTGCAGGAGGCGTCCACAGCATCGGTTTCCATCACCCACAGGGGGCTCCTTCCCCAGCCCCACAGCAGGGAAAGAGCAGCAGGGATGTGGGACGGTGCAGCTGAGAGAACGTAAAGCTGCTTCTGCCCTGGCTGGTCTCCTCCTCTCACACCACTGCCCGTGGCTGAGGTGTACGTTGTACAGACTGAGTTTTCATCGCATCCCAGCATCCTGGCAGTTTTGAGCAGAACAATGAAAGCAAAACGTTTGCCTTGGACTCAACAGTACTGTCCCTTTTCAAACTTCCTAAATGGCCACAATATGGTTTCCTTTTCCTTATTTCTTATTTGGGACAGGGGCTTCCTAAATTGACCAGGCTGGCCTCAAACTAACTCTCCTCCTGCCTCAGCCTCCCAGACTACAATAATAGAATTCCGTTCATTTTTCCAGGCCAGGATATGACCCGGGAACACCTCCTCTGCTCAATCCCATAGCTTTCCTCCTCTGGAATCCAGAGCTCCTCCTCAGACAGTCTGTGTCTTTAAGGATCCCAGTGGTGTTGTAGTGGACAGGCCCTTTATTTTACAGAGAGATCTTCAGCTTGGCCTCATCTCTTGTCAACCTGTGAGGAGAGTCAAGGTATGAATTTGGGGCAGGCATTGTCCAAACACACAGAACAGAAGGGACATGACGTCAGACGTCAGTTCGGGAGCCCATGATGTCCTCTCACCCTCGGTGGGTGACAGGGTTGCCGACTTGGTCTCGTGGTGAGGCAGTCTTGGCCTGTTACGTGCACTACCAAGTGACAGTGTTCTATGGTTGTCTCAGTATTAAGGAATGTGTGAGGAGGTATTTTGGAACTTGGAACAACCTGGTCTCTCAACGAAATTTTACTATCCGGCTGTAGCACTCACTGATGACTCTTTCTGTTTTGAGTTTGTAAAATCTGGTTTAATTCACATCTGACAGGGAGGGAGCACAATGTGAAAATACATAGGCACAGGAACATCATGGGTGCTAGACAACGCATTAGTTTACGGGATAAGAGGATAACCATACATGTGAGGGTTCAAATTGACTCCATCGCTGTGCTATAGCTTTTGTTTGGCTCAAGTGGCTGCTGAATGTCAAGTGTGCCGAGGTCCCCCGGAGCACCCGACGACTCGCTTGTCCTTCGACTTTCCCACAGTGACAAGAGAAACCCAGCCGTCTCTGACTCTGGCCCACAGGGTGTCACTGCTACCCAGACCGAGGAAGGCAGGGATTCCTGGGCCAGGTATTACTGCACGGAGGTCTGTCCAAGCCAGACTTAGGCTAAGAAGGCTGCGGCCAGCCCCCCCCACAGTGGTCTAGCATTAACAGGGTCCAGGAAAGCACCCTAAGAAGCAGCGCCTGGTGATTGATTAGGTTCCAGCACTGAGCTGTCACACTCACAGAAAAAGCAACACGGAGCTTCACTTTCACATGAAAGACTTGTGTCAACTGGACCTGGCTCGCTGGTTTAACTTTCACATAAATAGTGATTATTATCATTTAGACCCGGGAGAAAACAATTTTATACCGGTCTTTCCTTCACTTAAGTTTCAAGTAGCAGTAAAATTGTTATGGGGTAATGACGAGCCCATGAAAGCAAAATGTGTAACTCTCTTTCCCAAGACAGAAAACGGCCCTGTTTTGAGTCCTGTCCAGTTTCCAAAAGAAAGAAAACGTACACACACCTCTGTTATTGCACATCTTTCACAAAACTTGTATATGTGTGATATACACATTTCAATATGCTGCACAGGAAAAGACTGTGGCACTTTGTGGGATACATGTTTAACAAGGATCATTACACCACCGATGTTTGAGAACAGGACAGAGGCCCTCCCATAACTAGATGTTACACTGTTGAGTTAGCACACAGGTTTAAAGACTCCACAGACTCGGAGGCAAACATTTCTGCTTTTGAGTGCTGTGAGATGCCCAGGCCGTCAACAAATGTTAAACGCAAAGCAGGCAGAATAAGCCTTTCCTGGGAGGGGTAACGATCCTGTTATTAGAAAGTAAGTGTGGGTCAACAAGTGGTTTTTAGAGAGCCGTAAAAAAGGGAAAAAAAGAATAATAGCAGAATAATAAAGAGCCATACAGAAGGTTTTGGTCCAGACTAGCATTACAGTCTTTTATCCCAGAGAAAGGCTGGCTAACGGGAGAAAGGCTTCTCAGACCCAATGCTTCCTTTCCGTGCGGCGGGAGACCTGCTCTCCCTCTGTCACACTGAGTCAGTCTTCTGGTAGTGTTTAGCGGTTTGGGGTTTTACTTGTGTGTGTGCCCTTTTCTCTTAGTCTTCTACATCATTCAAATTAATGAAGTGAACTCTGTCAAGTGACGCTGCTCTGGCCCAGAGGTCCTGTTTTTACTTGCGACTGCCGTTGATGGGTTCACCATGACAGGTGACCGTGGTGAGCCCTGCCACTGTAGCTGAGGAGCCGGTGACGCACAGGTGCATAGGGTGCCCTGGCCTTATGACTTGTTTCTAGGAGGCTGAGATTGTCAAATGGATTCTCTGTCTTGTAGAGGTTAATCTTCCAATAAGAAATTTAAAAAAATTTTTTATCAGGATTGGTCCGATGTAGGAAGCTGCTTTGAATGAAAAATACTGCTCAGGTTTGGAAGTCATTACCTGGCCAGCAGAGGGACTCGGTTAGACATTATCAAGCACTTTCTGGCCCAGGGGCCTTATGCAGGGGTTCCCATGGCCTATATCATGTGGTTAGAGAGATGGTCCATGTTTCCCACATCTTTACCTAGGTGTTCCAGAAGGATCTCTGTGAACCGTTCTCACTCAGAAAAAAGGCCAGAGGATTTGAGCTTCGTTTCAAAAGACTTGCTCCCATCTTGCACTTGGCCTTTCCCTGTGAAATAAGATGTTTCCAGTATGGGTCAAAGGCCACACAGAATGGAACAAAAATGTCAGTCTCCTCATTCCACTGCTGTAGAGCAGTTATCTGTTCTGCCTCCCGTAGTTCTAGACTCACACAGCTTTGACATCATTTCTGGGTGCAAAGTTAGAACTTCTGAGAAACTTTTGAATCCCAGTGGTACTTAGCACACAACATATTGCCAGTAGAAGGTGCTTAGTAGCCATTACATTTTCAAAATAAAGCCCTCTGTGAGCAGACTCATAAACCTACAGAGACTCCCAATCTCAATCCTTCAGACCTGGACAGGATTCAGGTGGTGAGGGTGCTCCTCCCTCTGCAGTGTCTGACCCGCCCCTCAGGTCAGATGCTCATTCTCATCACCACCTGCCAATCAGTGACACTGGTAACCCATGGAAACTCCGTGAAAAGTCCTGAACCTTTTCCCCTTTTCTCCTCATCCTCTCCAATAGTGGTGTTGGAATGTTTCTGTAAACAGGTACAGGCAGGTGCCATGACCTTGGTTGAGCTCGGGGTTTGCATAAACTTTCTACCCTGCGCTGCTTTCCAAGCCTCTGGAGCAGCTGTTCAGCTGCAGCCGCTGAATGTCATCTCAGTGTTCTTTCAGGATCAACACCAGTGACTAGAGAAGCTTCACTCCCATCACCGACTCCTCTTTCCTGCAAAGAATCCCACTCTGCTGCTCTGGGGCTTGGGAATCCAGCTGACCGAGGCACGATCTCCACACAGGAAAGGTCTCCCAGGGCCGAGATTCGGCAGCTCCTCCTCTCTGTGAGCACCTGCCTGCGCTACAGCTGGTGTGGAGCCCGCTGTTTCCGGAAGAAGGAAACAGGTTTCCTGTGGCAATCAGAGCACAACCTTCGCTCTAGAAGAAGGAGGCTGGGCCTGCACGGGCGCCAGCCTGGCTGCTGGAAGAGGAAACTGTCTTCTCCTGGCCAGGACCTGAGCTGCTCCTCATGTAGTTGCACGGGTCCTCAGCCTCTCCTTACATTTCTGACGCCTTGGGGCACAGCTTGGTGGTCCACTTTCCCTGGAATGCAGCCTAGAGTGAGCCCCACGCCGTTTAGAGGACCCCTCTGGTCCATTGGCCACGGCCTACCTGCTAAGTGTGTGATCTTCCTTTTAATTTCCAACTGAACAATGGGAAAGAACAGGAAGAAAAGCAGAATGCCCACTGGAGACCCATCCTAAGGCGCAGATGTGCACAGAGGCGAAGCTGTGGCCAGAACCTTCTTCTTCGTCCTCAACGCAGCCCGCCAGGCCGGCGGCCAATTGCACGTCCCCTGCTGCCAGAGACCGCGCCTTCAGGATTCTGGTCATTGTGCTTCACCAAGCCCTGGGGGGTGGAATCTGATTGGATCCCAGGACTGCAGTCAGAGTTGTCACAGGAGGACCGTGCTCCACCCTTACTTGCGCTGAGCTAAACCCCCAGCTCCTAATAGTGGTGCTTGAATGTTTCTGGCCTGTGTCCAGTAACCGCGCTTAGCCAGGTACTGCCTCTCCCTGCTGCTGTAGAGGCCTGGGCTGTGGGCTGTGGCTTTGGTAGGTGCGGGCTGTTTCACAGGATTCCAGAGGAAAAATGGCGTTAGTGTCTCTTTCCACACTACAGGAGGCAGACAGGCTTTTCCCTTCTTCGATCGCTTCCTGAACTTTGTCCCTGGAGGCTGCGATATCTGCTCGTGCGGAGGAGACAGCACAGATGGAGGTGAGGACTGTGCCGCCGCTGGCAGCGTGAAAGGCCCAGGGCACAGAGCAGTCCCTGGTTTGTGGGGGGATGCGGTGTCCACAGCAGTCTCGGCTTTCCGGCAGCCCCGGCCCGCAGGGGAGAGGACAAGAGCAGGGATGAGGAACAGGCCCGCGACCCCCGCAGGAGCCGCACGCGTGAAGACGCTCTTCTTCATAACGCTCTGCACACACGGTGCAGATGGACCCAGAGGCCTCCACGCAGAGGACGAGGATCCCCACGGCCAGGGAGATGGCAGCGAAATGCAGGAGCCACGGGCGATCTCCCGGAGCCCTTGGCAAGGACGAGTCGCGCGGGACGGGCTGCAAGCCCGGGGTTGGGAGCGCAGCACCCATAGATGCCCAGGTAGGGTGCGGGCTCGCGGGCGCCCCCTGCCGCCGCGGCCCTTGGCCTCCCTCTCAGCCCTCTGCGCTCAGGAGGGCGCTGAGCTCCGCGGGGCCGAGGCACCCAGGAGGTCCAGAGCATCGAGCGGCAGGTGACAAGGACACGACACATGTCGAAGTTTAAGGCGGAAATCCGGGATTAAAACAGCCGCCGGGGCGGGAGCGGGAGCGGGGGCGGCGGGGAAGGAAGTCGCAGCGCTATGGTCACCCACCCCGCGGCGGACGGCACCGGTGCGGGTCCTGTGCGGATCCTGGGAAATCTCACTGAGCAGCTTCAGAAACAGCCGCAGCGCACAGGACAGGTGCGTGAGCGAGTGCGTGGACGTCTGGCGTGGCCAGCGGCGCAGCGCCCAGGGCCAGCCCAGGCCCCGCAGGAGACGCTTCTCGGTGAGATGCGGGGACCACGGGCCGGCTGCGCTCAGGAGTCTGTTTCCAGTGTACCGCGCCGAGCCCGGGCCTCGCGCTGCGCCCACCGCACCTCGCTGCCCATTCCCGCCCACATCGCTTACTACCATCAAGGCTGCAAAACATTCACTATGGGCGCCACCATTTCTCTATACATACGAGCTGGGGTTCCACAGGAGAGAACAGCGTTTCCTCTTCCTCCTATTGCTTCTTTACGTGTCCATTTCATATCCGGATGCGTTAAGGTGTTCAAGCTTTCTTTAAGGGGTTATATTAGCGCTGGTTTTTAAGTCCTGATTCAGTCCCTAATTGCCTAGGTAACCTTGGACAGATCACTGACCCTTCTGGGCCTTATGGTCCTGTGTGTAAAAGAGAAAGAGAAGAACTTTGTGCAGCGTTCTTCTCAAGGTCACCTCTCCCACATTCCCCTGGCTCTGAGGGACCAGGTTCAGTCCATCACACACATGTAAACTTCAGTGCAAGAACAGGAGAGGGGAGAAAATTTATGTATAGATCAGTAACGACCTGGGCACTCGCTAAAGATCCCAGCTACTGGGGAGACAGGCCGGAAGATCACCACTTCCTGCAGCCTCAGCAGCTTATGAGACCTTGTTATGCTTTGTGTCTGGATGTCCGCCCCAATCCTCATGCAGTCATGGGGCGGGCTTCTAGAGTTAATGATTGATTCATGGTCGAATGCTGGAATTATGGAGGTGAGTGCGAGCCCCTCCCTGGGGCGGATCGTTTGCATACAGTGTAAGGGAGGGAAAGAGGCTGCCTGCCTCCCCTCCTCCCTTTCTGCTCTTGCTACTTTTGCTGTCTTCCACCACCATGAATGGTTGCCCTCTGCCATGTGCCACCCTGCCTTGGAGCCAGCCAAGTATGGACTGAAACCTCCACAGATTGTGAGCTAAATAAACCTTTCCTTCCTTAATCTTGGGTGTCAGGTATTTTGTCACAGCAATGAGAGAAAAGTAACCAAGACAGACCCTGTCACAAAATAGCGGGTTCTGGGGCTGCAACTCAGTGGTAGAGTACTTGCCTAGCAGGGACAGGGCCCTGGGTTTAATCTCCAGAAAAGGACAGAAGAGAAAGAATCAATGACTAAGGGTTTCCAAATGGGATAAAAGACTTGAACGTATAGACTCAGGAAATTCTGTGAGCATCAAGCAGAATATAAACAACTGAAATCGTATCTAGTCAGACAGAAAAGGAAGGAAACAGAAAATCTGGAAATAACTAGAGAAGAAGGACAGATCACACACGGAGTGACAAGAATAAGAATGAGCAGTGTGTGACCTGCTAATGTGAAATCAAAAGCAAGAGACCGCAGAAGACATTGCAGTGACACTTAAGGTACTGTAAGAATATTGTCATTAACTGAGACCTCTGTCTATATCCAGGAAAAAAATTTCCATCTCCACGTAACAGTCAAGGCAAGAAGAGAACAAAGACTCAGAAACTCAAACTCTGAAGAAACAGGCCACTAATCCATACCACAACACTGGTGAGCCTCAGGCAGGCATGGTAGCTCATGCCTATAATCCCAGCACTTGGGAGGCTGAGGCAGGAGGATCATTGTGAGTTTGAGACCAGCCTGGTCTCAAACTTGGGAGGCTGAGGCAGGAGGATCATTGTGAGTTTGAGACCAGCCTGGGCTACAGAGTGAGCTCAAGGCCAGCCTGAGCTGCACAGCGAGAGCCTGTCTCAAAAAGACAACAAAACAAAACAAAACAACACAGATGAGCCTCACATGCATTTACCAGGTGAAAAATCCCACAAAAGGTTCCCCATTATCTGACCCCATTCACATGTCTTTCAGGGAAAGCAAATGTCGAGGGGCAGAAAGTAGCTTGGGGTTGTAGTCACGGCTTGGCAAGAGAGTGGCACAGAAGACTGATATATACTCTCAGGGGGAAGGAGAGGTTCTGTGCAGTTCCTGATTACTGGTGACAGCATTCCCATGCCCTTGTTAATGTAATGCAGTGTCAGCGTAAACACAGCACCGCACATTACAGACTATGAGCTCTGTGTATGCAAACTGATTTATAAGTACAGGGCCGGGATCCCAGAAAATAAGACCTAACTGGAAAGTAATCAGCCTTGAAAGCTAGAGGTCAAACACACCAGCTGCAGGCACCATGCCTTCCCTTCCCCTACAGAACACCACTGAGCAGGAGAAGAGCAAGGTCTGATCTTCTGCATGGCAGTGGCCGTCACTATTGGGATGAGCAGCGCTTATTATCGGTTGAGGTCTTATTTTCAGGGAAACACAGCACAGGAGTTACACATACGCATTTGCTTTTATAGAAATGTGCACAGCTCTGGTCTGCACTGCATGGCACACAGGTCTTCAAGCCTGATTATTTCTACACTGTAGGTTCACACCTGAGCTGGTGTCAGTATGTGCAGCTGCACATCAGGGATAAACAACTCAAATGGCTCCCAACTACAGGACCCCCAGGCTCTCAGGAATCAGGCCCCCATACTTACCTGCAGCCTGAGCGTAGCCCCCTCCTTCTACACCTGTGGGAAGCAAATGCCCTGTGAGAAGCCAGGGAGGAGGCCGGGCCTTGACAGCCTGGAAGAACTGCCCAGGCCTGGACCCAGGGAAGTTTCCAGGGTCTGGGATGCAGACCCAGGGAAGGAGCAGGAGGCACGAGGAAAGGACATGTTCAGGACCTGTGCCAGCTGCCCTCCTGGAGCTCCGTCCTAGCAGGGACCTTCCCTTCCGACCCTGACTGCTGGGATCAGGTCCCCATCTCCACAGCCCTCTGGGTGACAAATCTGTCCTTCCTATCCCTTATGCTATACAAGAGTGAGCGTCCTGAGAACCAGGGCTGAGTGAGCACCTGTGTGTGTGGATGGTGTTCACCATGAGGGGACGCACTTCTCCTGGGGGCTGAACTTGAATGCTCAGGCCCTGACCCCTTCTTACCTGCCCTCTTTCTCCTCCACATCACAAGAGCCACCACAGCAGTGACCAACAGGAGACTGAGGACGGCAGCAGTGACTCCTATGGCTGTGACCCCTCCAGTGGGGACGGTGGGCTGAGGAGACGGCTCTGGGAAGGGAAGGGAGGTGAGAGGTCC